TTATTTGATACACTGTATGATTGGTCTAATAGTTTAATTAGTATTTCTGCATCCATGTTAATTAGAGAAATTGGTCAATGATTCTCTTTTGGTACTATCTTCATTGGATTCTCATGTCACAGAGCTTCCCATTAGATAGTTCTGTTTCCTTCTAATCATCGTTCATTTTTTTTTTCCTGTTCTTGCTTTGGTTCTATTCTTCTTGGCCATTGCTCCAGCCCAGTACTGGGTGGAAGGATAACAGCAGGTGTTCTTGTTTTGCTTCTCGTTTTAGTGGGAATGCTCTATCCATCAAATCACTGAGTAGCTATTTCCTATAAGGTTTTCAAACAATATTCATTTGGGGATTAAGAAAATTCCCTTTTATTCCCTGTTTTCAAACAGTTATTTTGTTCTTTGCTTTTTGTTTGTAATTATTAAACTTTTCATTTATAATTATTAAAAATTTGACAGTTTTTAAACTTTTTCCAAAATGTTCTCAATAATCATAGTTTTTCATCTTTTAATCCATTAGTAAGATGAACTACATTAATAGATTTTCTAATATTAGACTAACCTTGAATTCTGGAATAATCCTAATTTGTTATCTGTTTGTGTATGTGTGTGTGTGTTCGTTTTTTGTTTGTTTTTTTTTTTTTTTTTTTTTTTTTTGGAAGAGGTACCAGGGATTGAACTCAGGGGCACTCAACCACTGAGCCACATCCCCAGCCCTTTTTTGTATTTTATTTAGAGACAGGGTCTCAGTGAATTGCTTAGTGTCTTTCCATTGCTGAGGCTGACTTTGAACTCTCCATCCTCCTGCCTCAGCCTCCTGAGCCTCTGGGATTACAGGCGTGCACCACCATACTCAGCTCATTTTTTAAAAAAAATATTATTATTTTGGTTTGTAATTTGGTCTTTTTTTGTACACTGCTGGGCTTGGTTTGATAATATTTAGTTTCAGATTTGGGAATCCATATTCATGAATGAGATTGCCTACAATTTTCTTATAATTATTTTATTTTGGTATCAAGATTATGCTTGCCTCTAACAATGAATACAGTGCTTTTTCTTCCAGGCTTTCGAAGGGCTTTAGCAAATTTGAAGTTATTTTTCTCTGTTATAATTCACTGGTATAACCATCTGAGACAGGTGCTTTTTTCATAGGAACACTTTAAACTATTTATTCAATATTTTAAAAATTATAGGATCAAATTTGATGCCAGCCTCAGCATCTTAGACCCTAGGAACTTAGTGAGATCCTGTATCAAAATAAAAAGAGCTGGAGATGGAGATCAGTGGTAGAACACCACTGGATTCAATCCCCAGTACCCCACCCCACACACACCTAGCATGACCGCATAATGATCATTTTATGTGGTACTGGGGATTGAACCCAGGTACTCTATCACTGAGCTCCAGCCCTTTTTATTTTGTTTTGAGACAGGCTCTAACCAAGTGGTCCAGGCTAGCCTTGAACTTGGGATTCTCTTGCCTCAGCCTCCTGCAGTTATAGGCATGTGCCACCCTGCCTGGCTTTTTATTCATTTTTATTTGGTTTTGATTTGAGTTGTGATCTTTTGGGACTTCACTCATTGCATCTAAATTTTTAAATATGTTACATGAAGTTTTTCAAAATTCCTTTTATTATCTCTTTAATATTATCAGCGTAGCTGGTTATAATTTTTTTTAATTCCAACATTTATTTATTTATTTATTTGTGGCTTTTCTTTTTTTCTTAATTAATTTTGGGGAGAGGGTAACTGGGTATTGAACCCAGAGGAGCTTAACCACTGAACCACATCCTCAGACCTTTTTATCTTTTTATTTTGAGACAGGGCCTCACTAAATTGCTGATACTGACCCCTTGAATTCGCTATCCTCCTGCTCAGCCTCCCTAGTTGCTGGGATTACAGGTGTGTGCCACTGCACCCTGCTCCATTAGTCAATTTTATTAGACTTTTCAAAGTACTAATTTGGCTTTCCTGTTCTTCCTTATTACATGTTTGTTTTATATTTTAATAATTTCTGCCCTTTTATTATTTCTTCTACTTCTTATGGGGTTTTAATGCTGTTTTTGTTGTTGTTTGTTTGCTTTTTGGTACTGGGGATTGAAGCCAGGGGCACTGAATCACATCTCCAGCCTTTTTTATTTTTTGTTTTGATAGAGTCTCACGAAATTCCTGAGGCTGGTCTTGAACTTAAGCTCCTCCTGCCTCAGCCTCCCTACTCACTGGATTTACAGATGTGTGCCACCACTGGCTCACGTTGCCTATTTTAGATTTCTTCAACCTTGTTTCTTTTCTAATAAAAACCCTTAAAATTTCAAATGCCTCACACGTATGCTGAAGCATAATTTTCTTTTTATATATATATTTTTATTTGTAGATGGACATAGTATCTTCTTTTAAAGAGAGAGAGAGAGAGAGAGAGAGAGAGAGAGAGAGAGAGAATTTTAATATTTATTTTTTTAGTTTTCAGCGGACACAACATCTTTGTATGTGGTGCTGAGGATCGAACCCGGGCCGCACGCATGCCAGGCAAGCGCGCTACCGCTTGAGCCACATCCCCAGCCCCGGACATAATATCTTTATTTATTTATTTTTATGTGGTGCTGAGAATCGAACCCTGTTCCTCACATGTGCCAAGACAGGTGCTCTACCGCTGAGCCCCATAATTTTGGGGCTACAGCCCCAGCCCCATAATTTTCATTATTGTGCATTACCAAATATTCTCTAATTCTGATCAGATCCTCTATATTTAAAATGCTTTTATTTTCAAACAGATAAAGTTTTTCTATTTTTTGATACCAATTTCTAACTTACATTGATTAGGGTCAGAGAACATGGTTCAGCTTCATGTAGTTTATAGATCACGGCATGATGATATCCTTTCCATTCTTTTTTAGATAATCTGTCACTTTGGTTTTGATTTTGCAAGGAGTAATTTAGAAAAGCACTTTAATTTCACAGAATATTAGCAAATGGTGCAGGGGTATTATCTTTCTACCATTGCTTTTCTTGGATTAAGGTTATGGTTCACTTCCTGAATTAAATCAGCCACATGGGAGGTGAGGTGGGGGTTCCTGGGACGCAGCGCTCACTCCATGTCCTCCTCTGGGCTGGAGGTGCAGATACAGGACTTGTCTCTTTTGGTTCTTGGACCCCTGTGTGAATGTGGAGGGTGTACTCCTCCAGCCAGCTTCCCTGGCCAAGCTCCTGACCCTCCCTAGACATGGGAAAGCCTGGAACCCTGTGGTCCCCAGCATATACAGAGACAGCAGAGCTTGGGGACTCCCTAGGGCAGATCTCTAACTGCCCATCTGCTGCTGTGTCCCTAAGAGACAGCCCAATGGAGTTTTAAAAATTGAGTTTCATTTACATACAATAAACTTCACTCTTTTAAAGCGAGTTCAGGTCTTTTAATATATCACATTTTATTTGTCTGGTTCATTAATTAATGGATATTTGGATTGTTTCCACTTTTTTATGAATATGAAAGAAACTACTCCCCTCCACCACCACCGTACCAGGGATTGAACCCAGGGGCGTTAACCACTTAGCCACATCCCCAGCCCTTACTGAAAAAAAAAAAAAATATTTAGAGACATGGTCTGGCTGAGTTGCTTAGTGTCTTGCTAAATTGCTGAGGTTGGCTTTGAACCCACAATCCTTCTACCTTAGCCTCCTGAGCCTCTGGGATTATAGGTATGTGCCACTACACCCAGCTATGAATAAAACTTCTATGAACATTCATCTACAAGTTTTTATTTGGACGTATGTTTTCATTTCTCCTGTATATACACAGGAGTGAAATTACTGGAGCCACATGATAATTCTATCTATGTTTAACTTTGTGTGTGTGTGTGTGTGTGTGGTGCTGGGGATCAAACCCAGGTCCTTGCTCATGCTGGCAAGCACTCTCCCACTGAGCTATAATCCCAGCCCTGGGTTGAACCTTTTGAAGATGTGAAGAAATCATAACTTGTTATCTGATGGTTAGGAGAAGGGAATCTGGAGTCATACCATTTATTATCTGCCTTTTTGATTTTAGCCATCCTGGTGGGTATGAAGTAGTACCTCAATGTGGTTTTGGTTTTCATCTCCCTAATGACTAAAGCTGTTGAGCATCCTAACATGTATTTATTGTCCATTTGCATATTTTCTCCTTTGATCAAATTATTTTCACTGCGTGTTCTACTTTAGAAATTACTGAAATTAGCCTGATTTTTTAAATTCCTGAAGTCCTGATTCATACATGTGAATCATAATCACTGCTAGGAAAAGATGGCCCCAGGTAGGTATATAGTTCCTGGAAACAGGGTCTTTTCTGGTGCCTGAGCACAGGGAAGCACTTTGCCATTGTTTCCCGTTAGTCTACAGCAGCAGAAACACTGCTTTCCAGCCGTGGGTGGTCACAATACCTGGTCACAATAGCTATTCCATTTTATTTTATATTTTTTAATTGTTGATGGACCTTTATTTTATTTATTTGTATGTGGTGCTGAGAATCGAACCCAGTGCGTCATGCATGCTAGGCAAGTGCATTACCACTGAGCCACAATCCAAGCCCCCCCACTCCATTTTATTGAGCATTTAAAGGTGCCAAGGTAACAAATTTGCAGAATATTGCCTCATTTCCTGCCCACAGCAGCCCTGTGAAGTATTACTATTATCACCCTCGTTGATAAGAAAAACTAAGGCTCATGACTCAATGACTTAAGTACTTAATGAGTTACTTAATTAGGTAACTTCCAGAAGGTTCCAAAGCTATTAAGCTTCAGAGTTTCGATTCTAACCTGGTCTTCTGACTCTGGATTCCCTTCTCCTAACCATCAGGTATACTCCCTCCTAGAGAGAATCCAGTTGTCCACTTCCCAGTCCCTCAAGTTCATTTCCATGAGTGTCTGGCCATCATAGTGCAGACAGCAGCTTGAGACTGGACCAAGGAGGGATGGGGGAGGTAGCATGGACTTTGCCCTTGTCTCACTCTTGCTCTGGGCTGCTCTCCTCCCCTGCCAGTTCGCCCAGTATGCTGAAATAGTCAACTTCACCCTCCCCGATGGGACTCAGAGGAGTGGCCAAGTGCTTGAAGTGGCTGGGACCAAGGCCATTGTACAGGTAAGTGGGCTCAGTGAGTCAATGAATGAACTGGCAAAGTTCCCACACTATCTGACCAGCTGTGAAGCAGGCAAATGTCTATCTGCCTGAGAACACCCTGACCAGAGCAGAGCATTCTAGGAGGGTCTGAAGTGGGAAGCCCCAGTCTCTCCTGGTTAGAGTAACTACCTTTTGTCCCATAGGTGTTTGAAGGGACCTCCGGGATCGATTCCCAGAAGACCACCTGTGAGTTCACAGGGGACATCCTGCGGACTCCAGTGTCAGAGGACATGCTGGGTGAGGGATGGGGATGGGGCAGGGGTGGGTGCCCCTCTACCCTCCCAACCCAGCTTCTCCGACTAAACCCTTAGTGCCTGGCTTTGTCATTGCCTGTACACATATCTGCCTTCCCATGAGCTCTTGGAGGCTAGAGGTTGTATTTTCTCTGTTCTGACCTGGTCTCAGGGCCCACATACAGCAAATGTTCAATAATGAGGAAAGCAGGACCCTGCTTGAGGTCAGGCTGAAAGAGACTGCTAAGCCCTGCATATCCCCTAACTCTCAAGATCTGCCACACCTGGCTTGGTTTTCCCCTTATCCAGCCCTGGAAGCCCCTCAACTAGAGTCATTGTGCTGGGCCAAGGCCTTGCTTTCTGGGATAAATGAGAGCTGACGGGGAGGGGGCCATGGGCAGTGGAGGTGGGGGATAGGAGGGGGGTGGTGTGAGGCTGAGAGCTGAGGCTGGCCCCAACATCCTTCTCCACCACTTGCCTACTCAGGTCGGGTTTTCAACGGCTCGGGCAAGCCCATTGACAGAGGGCCAGTGGTCATGGCGGAGGACTTTCTGGACATCAATGGTGAGTGAGTGGAGGCTTTGGATATCTTTTAGGACCCAGTCTCTGACATCTTCCCACTTCCGGCCATCATTTCTGCCACCTTGTCCTGGAAGTTCTGTCCGGACACAGGCCAGAGCCACTGACCAGCACTTTCCCAGGGCCAGGCAGATTAGGTGTGATGTGAGAGCATCAAAGGCCTCTCGTCCCCAAATCAGCCACCAAATCCAAATGCTGCCCTCAGCACTCTGTGCCCAGCCCCTATAAAACAGTGGTGCACACCTGTAATCCCTTCAGCTCGGAGGCTGAGGCAGGAGGATCACAAGTTCAGAGTCCACCTCAGCAATTTGGTGAGACTTTAAGCAACTCAGTGAGACCCTGTGGCTCAGGGGTTAAGCACCCCTGGGTTCAATCCCCCCCAAAAATTGAAATGCCATCATCATTGCATAGTGTTCCACATGTTCCCAGACCTTCCCTCTTCTGCCCTCAGTTCCCTGTCCCCAATCCTCAGAGCTAGGGCCACTGCAGCAAATCCAGCCCTCCAAGGCTGTCATATAGTTAAGTGGAGGCTTTTCCCAACTCCTGCAACCCTAACCCATCAGTTTACTGAGGGAGTCATGGAGGCCCACAGAGGATGGTAGCTTGTCTGAGGCCACACAGCAAGCCATTGGCAGAGCACAGATCATATATCTGCTCCTATAGGGGTCTCAGATTGCCCTCAGGTCCCTGCACAAGAGCCATAGGTGGTGAGGAGGGTTCTATCTCAGGCCAAGGGGTCCCCAGGCTGAGTTCTCACCACCTGCTTCTAATGCACCAGGGCAGTGCTGTCCAAGGTAGCACTGGGCCTGTGGTTGTTTAAACCTGAACCAAACCATATTTCATGTATGCAATAGCCACATGTGGCTGGGGACACACTGAGCAGCGCAGCCAGGGCACAGTTCTGTCTTCACAGAGAGCGCTGTTAAACTGCACTGTTCTAGGGCTGGGGACGTGGCTCAAGCGGTAGCGCACTTGCCTGGCACGCGTGCGGCCCGGGTTCTATCCTCAGCATCACATACAAACAAAGATGTTGTGTCCGCCGATAACTAAAAATAAATATTAAAAAAAAAAACTGCACTGTTCTAGAGTCTGGGCATGAGTGGGAGGGCAAAAGCTGAAAACCCTGTTCCCTCCCAGGCCAGCCCATCAACCCCCATGACCGCATCTACCCTGAGGAGATGATTCAGACGGGCATTTCTCCCATTGACGTCATGAACAGCATTGCCCGTGGTCAGAAGATCCCCATCTTCTCAGCAGCCGGACTCCCCCACAATGAGGTGAGGCCTGCAGAGGAAGCAGCAGCCTTGAAGACCAGTGGGCCCCAAGCAGGTCTTCAAGGCTGCCCTGAGTCAGAGCGGCCCTCACTGCTTGAAAGAGCCCACTTGTAGCTCCCAGTGTGGAAAGCCCTGCCTGGCTGAGCTCCCAGCCTCTGCCTGCTTGTCCTTGTACTAGTCTTTCCCAGATCACACCTACTTCACTGCCACCACCAGGTATGAACAGCCAGTTCTCCCAGAGTAGTTGGTGTGACAAGGTTTCTAGACATTTTCCCCCACCCTTCCTGAATTCCTGAATGTGCCTCAGTTTACCCTCAAAATGATCTGGTGATCAGACAACATAAATGCCCTCACTCTTACACACACACAAACACACACACACACACACACACACACCCTGGTTTGAGAGTTAGGATCCAATAGCCCCACATATTGAAGACCTGGGGCAACTCTGTGCCCAGATAATTCCAGCAGGCTGAGGGGGCGTCTAGGGGCTCTGAAAGGCCCAACTTCCTTCAGACAAGTGGTTCAAACCCATGCTAAGGCTGTTGCTCTTTGGAACTGTTCATTACTCTGTCTGTCCTGCTCCTCACGACAGGCTCTCTCAGTTCTCTAGTAGTCACAGAATAGCCCCCCTCCCCAAGAAAGCTGTAGGACCCAGGGCAGAGCCTTCACCTCTCTGGGCTTGGACACTTGCTGGCAAGGCCCTGACGGGAGGACAGATTGAAAAACCTCTCCATCCATCCTCCTTAGTGGTGCCCGGGGAGGGGGGGACAGGTGCTGGGCTCTGGCCCTGACAGCCTCCCTCCCCTCCCAACCCATTCTGCCTCAGATTGCTGCCCAGATCTGCCGCCAGGCTGGGCTGGTGAAGAAATCCAAGGCAGTGCTGGATTATGATGATGACAACTTCGCCATCGTCTTTGCAGCCATGGGGGTAAGAGAGGCGGGGCAGATTTGTCAGTTAGAAGCTGTGAACAGGCAGCCCTGGATCCATTGGTCTCTGAAACAACTTAATCTTCTGGGGGAGGCACAATCCCTCTTCTTGAGAAGCTGTCAGAGTCTGGGCCAGTCTGGTGGGAAAGGCAAGAGTGTGACTCAAGGGGTGAAGGTGGGCTCAGTGACCAGAGCAGTGTGTCCCTTCAGACATCTTGAAGGCCACAGCAGCTCTAAGATGGCCCAGAGTGGCTTGGAGAAGGAAGCCAGGGAACTCAGGGAGATAAGACAGCTCAGGAAGGGGATATCAGGGAGCCCTCAGGGGGCCCAAGGGGAGGAAAGGGAGTTGGGCAGGGCAGCTGGCCAAGAGAGGGGCAGGATGGCATTGAGCTCCTGAAGAAGTTTGAAATTCTCTGGAAGGGTATCTGATGAGGCCCTCTCAAGCCCCAGGGCCACCCCTGTGACTATGGCACCTTTACCCCCAGCAACTGTTAACCAGTCAGTTCACAGGCTTTCCTCAGAAAGGAGGGGCCAGGCGCTGCTCTCAGGCTGCAGCCCTCCCTGCTCTATGTCCAGGTGAACATGGAGACAGCCAGGTTCTTCAAGTCCGACTTTGAGCAGAATGGAAGCATGGGGAACGTCTGCCTCTTCCTGAACTTGGCCAACGACCCCACGTGAGCCCTCCCCATGTCCAGGGAGAAGACCATGTTTCCTTCTAATACTCAGGATACCAGCAGGGCTCAGGGCATTCCAGAACCACAGTCATGGGACCGAGCTAGGAAAATAACCCCTGGAGGCGCAGTTGGAGAAACTGAGGCCTGGGAAGAGCTAGGGATAGCCCACCAAGAGTCCCTGGGAACCAGCTAGGACCCCACCTGCCACCTGCAGTCCCTCTGCTCTTCCCACAGCCTGCAACCAGCCACTATCCTAAGTCAGGGCCCTTCACCCTTGAGTCACTTCCACAGTCACTACTAAAGAAATTGTCTCTCCTTTTTTTTTGGGGGGGGGGATTGCTATTTTGAAGGTTTAGAAAATAAGACTTAAAATATGGGATCAAGTGGATTAAAAAAAATTCTCATAAGATATCCTGGGTGTTGAGGGGGGGGGCTCCCCAAACTAAGGAACAAAAGGCTGTGATGACATTACCAAGAGGTACCCAGCATAAGGGTACTGAGAAGTGCTCCAAGTGGGAAGGGTAGGCAGTGTGTGGACCACGCACACCAGTGTGCTCAGGGACAGGAGAGGCACAATGAGTAAAGTGACAATCCTGAGGACACAAAGCAAGTGCTCTATCTAAGACACAAAGCAGGTGCCCTGGGGTGAGAAGGAGCTAGAGCAGGCACTTGTGCTCCCACCTCACCCATGGGAGATACCTCAGAGCCCTTCACCTTCAGACCACAGCAGACAAGTCTGCTGTCTTACTCACCCAACACTCACCCCTGCTTGGAGTCTCCTACCTACCCACCCTCCTGGTCTCGGCCTCCGTCTCCTCCCCTCCCGTGGATAGCAGGTGAAGGGGTGAGGACTTGGTGGCAAGTGCTCGCTCCCAGGAATATGGACCTGACCTGGGGGCTGGGGTAGGGGCTCATCTTATCCTTGCCCAGCTACTGTACACAAGCCAGCTTCCCTCTGTACCTTGTACTCAGCCCTGGGGTATGTGGGGCACAGTCCTGGGCCTTCAGGCTCTCTAAATACCAACCATGCCTGCCTCCAGGATTGAGCGGATTATCACCCCACGTCTGGCACTGACCACTGCTGAGTTCCTCGCCTACCAGTGTGAGAAGCACGTGCTGGTCATACTGACTGACATGAGTTCCTACGCGGAGGCCTTGAGAGAGGTAAGCTGACCATCAAGGGGTGTCAGAATCATCCCTGCCTTGCCCTAGGCTTGACCTCTTGGAATCAAGGGATCATCCTAAAAGTAAGAAGGGAACTCGTCAACCCAGGCCTGCCGTCCTCATGTGTGCCCCAGGGCTCAACTGCAGCCTGGCCTTTTCTCTCCCACGTTCCATTCCATTCCTCACAAAGTCACTGAAGCTTCTACCCATCTTCCTTGTTTCAGCCCCTGCCTCCTTTCTTATCCCAACATCCATGGATCTTGCAGGTCTCAGCTGCCAGAGAGGAAGTGCCTGGGCGCAGAGGTTTCCCTGGATACATGTACACAGACCTGGCCACCATTTATGAGCGAGCAGGCCGTGTGGAGGGCCGGGGTGGATCCATCACACAGATCCCCATCCTCACCATGCCCAATGATGGTAGCCTCCTCAAGCCCCCAGAGTTCCCCTTCCTCCCTTTCCCACCTGGACTCTTACAAATCCCATGCTGCTTTGCACAGATGTGCAGTAACTCTGCTCCTCCATCAGGGCTGATCCTTTCCTACACATCCATCTCTACCCCCTCACTCTCATGAGGGAAACAGAACCTGGGTGACCCCTGGGTGGGTGGAGACCACACCCCCAGCCACACTGAGACCAATGCATTTTCTTGTAGATATCACCCACCCCATCCCAGACCTGACAGGCTTCATCACAGAAGGACAGATCTATGTGGACAGACAGCTGCATAATAGACAGGTACTTGCTGCCTCCCTCCCCACTTTGGCTCTCACTCCAAAAGACCTGGAAGAACAGATGTCCACTACCTCCTCTGAATGAACGAAGCTGACCCAATCAGGAGACATGCACCCAGGGAGGCCTGTGTGGGCCACAGCCTGGGTAGAATCCAGTCTACCTGGCTGTGGGAACTTGAGAAAATAATCCCTTCAGAGTCTGGGTGTACTGGGCAAGAGTGGGGAGGGCAGAGAAAAGCTGGAAACCCTGAACAGGACTTCACCAGGGATTGAACCCAGGGTCTCCTGCATGCTAGGTAAGTATCCTACCACTGAGTTATATCCCCAGCCCCAGGTCTTCTCTTCTGTGATATGGGAATAATAATACTCATTACACTGATGCATTGAGAAGCATAAAACAAGTCAGCATATGAGAAGTATCTGGCAGATAGTAGACAATAAATAAATACCAATTATTTTCCCTTTCCAGTTTTTTGCTTTGCTGAGTAAAAACACCAGGTGTCTGATACAAATAGAATGTGAATAATGGGCTTTTTATGAACTTAAGGTCACATCATCTTCCTCCCTCACCGACCTGTCTAAAACCACTTGTGTAGTCACCTGCCCTACAATATATACGACATAAGAGTGTCAGGGTGTGACCACTGACTTCTCTGTGGATGAATGAGGACGAGTCTCCTAAATAGGGGGAGATGAGACAAGCAGCTTGGGTGGGGTGGGGTGGGCTCTGCTGTCTGCCAGTTGCCTCCTCTGCTCCCCCAGATCTACCCCCCCATCAACGTGCTCCCTTCCCTGTCGCGACTGATGAAGTCCGCCATCGGGGAGGGCATGACGAGAAAGGACCACGGGGATGTCTCCAACCAGTTGGTAAGAAGGAGAGGGCCAGGGGCTGTTGGGTAATCTAGTTTCAGAAACTGGAGATTTGAGCTCCATCTGGACCGACAGGCTTTTCCCCTGGTAAAATTCCTTCGCAAAAAGGGGAATCCCAAGGGCAGCCAGGTTTGGGGCCATCGGGACTTTGGTGGGAAGTCCGCGAAGCCGCCACCGCCTCTGCTTCCTCCTCCAGTACGCCTGCTACGCCATCGGGAAGGACGTGCAGGCCATGAAGGCAGTGGTGGGGGAGGAGGCGCTCACCTCCGAGGACCTGCTGTACCTGGAATTCCTGCAGAAGTTCGAGAAGAACTTCATCAACCAGGGTGAGGCGCTTGGCGGGCGCGGAAGCAGAACCTCTCCACCCTCCTTCCGCCCCATACACACAGCCCTCACGCTCCTGCTCGGTCCCTAGGACCCTACGAGAACCGATCGGTGTTCGAGTCGCTAGACCTGGGCTGGAAACTGCTGCGCATCTTCCCCAAGGAGATGCTGAAGCGCATCCCGCAGAACGTGATCGACGAGTTCTACTCCCGCGAGGGGGCGCCGCAGGACACGGTGTCCGACACTGCGCTCTAGCCCCGACGGAGCCTGGCGCAGCTGCACGGTCCGGTTACCCCTGTCTTACGTGCCCGTGGTTGGCCACCTTTCCCCATTCGCCATCTGCCTCCCGCCATCTCCCTCTCCGACGTTCCCCCGCTGCCCGCAATACCTGAACTCACCACTTCCGCGTCCACCTTCAGACCCCTACAGGCTATGGGGGCTCCCCAAACTCTGTCTTCCTAGACTTCAGCACTGGGAAAGACCACAAAGGAAAGCCCATGTCCTACTATATTTTTATTTTAAATGATTTTTTTTTTTTTCTGTGATCGTGATGCTGCTGCTGGAGACCTAACCCAGGCCCTTGGGCATGCTAAGCAGCAGTTCTACCACTGAGCCACACCCCCAGCCCTGAATTTTTATTTTAAAAGCCCCCAAGAGAGAAGTAACAAAGATGAATTATCTTAAGTGAAAAAGATTGACAAGAAAATTTGGTAATTGTTGAAGGTGCAAGTGATGGATGCATGAAGTTCCTTATACTACTAGTCTCGCTCCTAAAAGGGGAGGGGGGGTGGATGAGGAGGAAAGGAAGGAAGGAGAGAAAGGAAAAGAACAGAGAAAGAAAAAAGCTGCATTAGTGCCTCAAGAGCTGACAATAGAATTCCTCTTGGGGGATGTATTTGTCCTTTTAAGAGGTATCTTATATGTTTGGCTTTTAATAGTTCTGCCCCAGAGAAACTGGGGAGGAATTTGGTTTGCTGCAGACAGGAAGGGAAAAGAGTCCTTAGGGAGATAGCCCGACAGACATGACAGCCCGTGCAGAAGGTTGGGAAAGACCCCTAAAATCAAGAAATTGGCGAAGAGCATCCCAAAATTCAGGATGCCTGAGGCATCCTTGGAAATGACCTACTCTTCTGTGATGTCCTATCCTCCTGTCTCTCTACCCCATCTACAAGAAAGTCATGAATAATTCTTTAAAAAGCTTTGACTGGCTGGGTGCACACGCCTGTAATCCCAGCAGCTCAGGAGACTGAGAGACCAAAACAGGAGGATCGCGAGTTCAAAGCCAGACTCAGCAAAGGCAAGGCGCTAAGTAACTCAGTGAGACCGTGTCTCTAAATAAAATACAAAAATTGGGCTGGGGATGTGGCTCAGTGGTTAAGTGTCTCTGCGTTCAATCCCTGGTACCTGCCCCGCCAAACAATAAATAAAATAAAAAGCTTTGACTGTCCACAGGGCTTAGAGTTGTTTTTATTTAACAACAACTTTATTGAGATATAATTCATACACGATACAGTTTACCCATTTATAATGGTACTACTTGACAGCATTTAGTATACCTACAGAGTTGTGCAACATTCACTACAATCAATATTTAGAACTTTTTCATTGTTTCCAAAAGAAAATTTGTACCCTGAGCCATCATCCCTCAACTACTCTCCACCTGTGCCCTCCCCAGCCCTAAGCAACCATGAATCTGCTTTTTATCTCTACAATTTTGCCTGTACTTGATATCTCATATAAATGAAATTGTACAATATGGTTTTTTTGTGACTGGCTTCATTCTCTTAGCAAAACATTTTCAAGGTTTATTTGTATTATAGTATATATCAGCACTTCATTTATTTTTATTGTCGAATAATATTTTATAGTGTGAAATCAAAACTTTTGTTTAGGCATCAGTTTTTGGACATGTAATTCATTTCCATTATTTTGGCTATTATAAAAAGGCTACAAAGAACATTATGTACAAGTTTTTGTGAACATATATGTTCATTTCTGATGAGTAGAATTGCTGGGTCCGATGGTAACTGGGTTTAACTTTTTGAAGAACTTCCACACTGCTTTCCAAAGTGGCTACACCATTTAACATTTCTGTCAGCAGTGTATGAGGTTTCCAATTTTTTCACATCCTTAGCATCCCTTGTTCTTATGTCTTTTTATAGTTTTACTTCTTCCTTTCAAATTGAGATGACTTTCTTTTCATTTTCTTCTCTAATTTCCCTGGTTAGAACCTCCAGTATGTTGTTGAATAGTGTAACAAGAGTGAACATGCTCATCTTGTTCCTAATCTTAAAGGGAAATTAATTGGTTGTTCTCCATAAATGTGATGTCAACTGTGGAGTTCTCAAATAATAGCTTTATTGAGCTAAAATTTGTTCTAACCAAGTTTATTGAATGTTTTATCATGAGAAGAGTGGAACTTTGTCTATTGAGATGATCCTGAGTTTTTGTCCTTTATTCTACCCATATGATATATAAACTTGGTTTTTCAGATGTTAGACCAAACTTGCCTTGTTAGGATAAATTCTATTTTGTCATAGTGTACAATCCTTTTATATATGTAATGAATTTGGCTTGATGGTCTTTTGTTAAGGATTTTTTACATCTACATTCACAAGAGATGTTGGTCTATAGCTATTTTTTCTTATGATGTTGTCTAATTTTCAAATCAGAGTAATACTAGTTTCATAAGATGAATTGGAATTGTTCATTCTTCTATATTTTTAGAAGCATTTGGGAATAATTGGTGTTAATTCTTCTTTAAATGTTTGGCTTGAGCTTTTCTTTGTGGGTAGTTACTATTACTGCTGCTGTTGCTACTAATTGAATGTTTTTAATTTCTATTTGTCTAATCAGATTTTCTATTTCTTCCTGAGTCCTTTTTGGTAGTTTGTTTTCTTACAGGAAGTTGTCCATGTCATCTAAGTTAGCTGAGTTTCTAGCAACTAATTGTTCCTAATATTTCTTTGTGATCCTTTATATTTCTGTAAGGTATATAGTAACATCCCCTCTTTCTTTCCTGACTTCACACATTTTAGTAAATCTCTTTTTTTTTTTTTTTGGTTGTCTAAAAAGTTTGCTAATTCTGTTGGTCTTTTTAAAAAGTCAACTTTTAATTTGATTTTTCTCTGTTTTCACTCATCTCAAAGCAGTTTCTAATTTCCCTGGTGATTTCTTCTTTAGCACATTTGTTATTTAGGAGTATGTCACTTAATTATACAAGTTTATAAATTTCCTAAGCTTCTTTCTGTTATTTATTTCTAATTTCATTTCAGTGTGGTCAGAAAATACACTTTGTATGCTTTCAATTTTTTAAAATTTTAACAAGTTCTTCTTGATGGCCTAGTAGATTGTCCTCTGCAGAAGGCTTTGTGTGTACTTGAGAAGAATGTATTCTGCTATTGTTGGGAAAAGAGTACTATAGATGTTTGCTTGGTCTAGTTGGTTTCTAATGTTATTCAAAAACTTCTGTTTCCTTATTGTACTTCTGCCTCATTCTATCCATTCTTGAAAGTGAAGTATTGATGTCTTCAACTTTTATTGTTGAGTTATTGCTTTCTTTCAATTATGTCAGTTTTTGTTTCCTATATTTTGGGGCTCTGTTGTTAGTGCATGTATGTTTATGACTGTTACATGTTTCTGATAGATTGGCTCTATTTTTTTTTTTTTTTTTATAAAATAGTCCTCTATCTCTAGCAACAGTTTGCTTCTTGGGTTAAAGTCCATTTTGATATTTGAATAGCCACTTCAGCTTTCTTACAGTTGCTATCTATATCTCTATATATCTACTATATATATCAACAGGCTATCTAATATATCTACTCCTGTAGATAATATATAGTTGGAAATTTATTTATTTGTTTATTTTATACCCAGGATTTAACCCAGGGGTGCTTTACTACTGAGCTACTACATCCCCAGCCCTTTCTATTTATTTATTTATCTTATTTTGAGACTGGGTCTCACTAAGTTGCTGAGGGCCTTGCTAAACTGCTGAGGCTGGCCTTGAACGTGCAACCCTCTTGTCCTCTAGAGTTCCTGGGATTGGAGACGTGTGCCATTGTGCCCGGCTTGGAAACTGATTTTTCTGCAGTCTGTTATTACTGCATAAAGATATACATACACTGTTTGACTTTAATTTTCCATTTGTTTCATGACTTTTGTTTCTCTAGTCCTCCTTTAATGCTTTCTTTTGGATTTGAATATTTCCTAGTGTAATATTTTAATTCCTTTGATAATTTTTTCACTCTATTTTTTTAGTTGTTTTCTTGGTGGTTATTCTAGGTCTTACCAAAATCACATTATCAGAATGTATTTCAGATTTATGGTAACTTAACTCCAGTGAGGCATTGAAATATTATTCTTATGTTCTCTCACTTACTCGTTCATTTGTTCTGTTTTTGTTTTGTGAGGATTCAGATTATGGCATGAGGTAGCTTCTAGCCTGAAGAACCTTAATTATTAATTCTTATAAGGCAGGGATTCTAGCAACAAATTCTCTAAGTTTTTGTTTGTTGGGCAATGTCTTTATTTTACTTTTTTTTTTTTTTTTAATTTAGAGACAGGGTTTTACTGAGTTGCTTAGGGCTTCACTAAGTTGCTGAGTCTGGCTTTGAATGCATGATCCTCCTGTCTCAGCCACCCAAGCTGCTGGGATTGCAGGCATGCACCACTGCATCTGGACAATTTTGAAAGATTATTTTCGTTTTTGTTTTTGGATATAAAATTCTTAGCTGACAAGTTTTTTTCTTTACTGCCTTCTTGCACTCATTATTTCTAATGAGAAGTAAGTTGTTAATCTGATTGGGGTTCCTTTGTATGTGGTGAGTTATTTATCTCTAATTTCTTTCAAATTTTTCCTTGTCTTTGTGTATTTTTTGTACAATGTACCTGAGTGTTGATATATTTATCTTACTTGGAGTTTGTTGAGCTTCTGAAATGAATAAATTAATCTCGTTTATCAAAACTGATAAGTTTTCAGTCACCATATCTTTAGAATTTTTCTCATTCATTTCTTTTACATGTCTTTATGATATTCTCATTATGTTTGGCCTGAGCTTTTCTTTGTGTAAATTGAGGTGTCCAGTGGTCTCCCCTCTCTTTTTCTTTCCTTTCATTCTTTCTGTTCTTTTCTTTTGGGGCTCTATTCTTTTTTTTTTCCATTCCTTTCCCCCTCTATTCCTTGTATTACCTAATCTCTACTGTTTGTCATCAGTTTTCTGATTCTTTCCTCTGTAAGTTCAAATATGCTGTTGAGCTCTTGTAATGAATTTTTTTGGTGATTGGAATCCAACCCAGGGCTTTGTAAAAGCTAGGCAAGCACTCCATGACTGAGCTACACCACCAGCTCCCGATTAGTTTCTAGAAGAATTTCTCTTTATTGATATTTCCTGTTTGATGACATGTTATCTATTTTTACTTTTAGCATTCCTTTAGTTCTTTGAATATACTTACAATGGCTACTTATCTTGGTCTGTTATCTCTGATGTATGGGCCATTTCACAAGCAGCTGCTCTTGCTTGATTTCTTATTTCCTGATTATGGGTTATCATTTCCTGTTTATTTACATATCTCATAATGCTTTGTTAAAAACTGGATTTTTTTTTAGGTAACTTGTTTTAGCAATTCTGGATTCTTATTTTCCTGCCCCCCTCTCTCTGGGACTTGTTTTTGTGGTTTGCTTGTTGATTTGTTTAGTGATTTGGAAGGGCTATTTTAGCAGTCTTCCCCCTCTCAACATGAAGCCTCTGAAATGACCGCTGCAGGGCGCAGCTTTGGGCTTGCATGCCATCATTTTGAGATAGCAGTGGTTTAAGCAGGATCCTCTTTCACTGTCGCTTTCCCTGATCTATTAAACAGCCTGCCTCTGTTGGTGTAATACCTAGCTTTTAGCCTCTGTGCATCACCAGCTTATCACTTTATTTTTTATTTTCTATGATGCCCTTGGGAATAAACTTCTCCATGGACGGATCTCTTTGCAGAGGTCATATTTGTCTTTGAAGTTTGTTCTGGCTCTAGGTGGGCTCTTCTGAACTCTGTCTCTGCTTCTCTCTGGTAAATTAGCTGTCCCAGAGTTTGGATTGTTTTTAATTGCTTACCAACAAAATCTCCATTGTTTTTAGAGAACCATTAGACTTAAACTTCCACACCGTTACAAATAAAGCCATTTCTTTTGGTGGAGATCTTTGGAGCTCTCAGTTCCTCTGGATTCTCTGGGCATAATTTCTG